TGGGACGAAGGAACCAACACGGGCTATCACATGCGTTATCAGGACTTTTACGACATTGGTCGCGACCAGCCGGCCACTGCCTCATATGCCAACCCCAACCTCCTCAAAAACCGTTACGGCAATATTGTGGCTTACGATGCCGGCCGTGTCAAGTTGTCCCAAATTGGTGATGATCCTTCCACCGATTACATCAACGCTAGCTGGGTCGACGCTTACAAACAACCCAATGGCTACATCGCCTCTCAAGGACCAGTCCCCAACTCTTTTCTAGACTTTTGGCGCATGGTCTGGGAGCAAAACGCTTGCACCATCGTCATGGTGACCCATGAAGTGGAGAAGGGCCGCATCAAATGCCATCGCTATTGGCCCGACCCCACCTCCACACCGCCTACGCAAACGCTCAGCTATGGCGACGTCACCGTCACACACCTTCGTGCCGAGGCTCACCGCCACTTTGTTGTACGCACATTTCTTGTACGCTGCAACAGTGAAGAGCGCACCGTCAAACAATTTGCTTATACCTCCTGGCCCGATCACGGTGTCCCTCTGACGACAGCCGAGCTTCTCGGCTTCCGCAATGCCGTCAATGCCGGTACCCCCAACAAAGACGTGCCCATTGTCATCCACTGCAGTGCCGGCGTCGGGCGCACGGGCACCTACATTGCTATTGATACCCTGGTCAAGCAATGCCTTGACATGGGTGGCATGCCGAATGTTGACGCAGTGGTCCGCGACATGCGTCTCCGCCGCAATTACATGGTGCAAACAGAGGTATGTATTGGCAACGTGCCCAATCCTGATATTTAGCGGGCGCTTCTCGATTGAGCTCCGGGACTAGGCTGAGCTGGGTCAGACAGGTTGATGGGATCGGCAAGAATTGTGCCTTCAATCCCAATACTGTACCAGCAACTCACAAGGTCCACGTTTTGTTCACCTCTTGCGTGCCCGCCACCTGGTGTGTAGATGCAATACATCTTCATTTACCGTGCCGTCTATGACTGCCTCAATGAGCTGCTCAAGACTGAGTCGACCAAGGCGGAGCAACTTGCCACTAGCCAGGCCGAGCAACAAGCGCTGCGTGATGCTGCCGAGGCGGCCGATCGAGCCAAGCAGGAGGAGGAGGAGCGTGAGCGCGCTGCAATTGAGGAAGCCCGCAAGGCGCTTGAGCGAGAAGAGCTGGCACGTGGTGAGGCCAGCGCCGCGCAAGCCCGTGCCATCATCTCGCTCTCGCTTTCGGAGCGTAAGAGCATGTTGCAGGCAGCAGAAGAGCAGTGGCTTATCAATTACCAGCAATCCCTGGCTGAGTGGAACGATCGCAATCAGTTTGCAGCTGAGCAGTACGACACCACCAGCGAGCTCACGCCGGTCCAATCCCGCCTCGAGGCCCTGCGCCAAAAGGGTATGCTCATCTAAACCTTTTCTTTTGCGGCCATGTGGGCACTGACGGTACTTGAATGAGCACATTCATCAATTAAAGACGTTTGGTTTGGTCTGGTTCGGCTTGATTTTATCCGTCTGCATGTGCTGAGCCTGCTCGATGCAAACGGCTTGCTACCCAGCAACCGCTGCCCTGCCAGTCTGTGTGCTGCCGCTTTGGTTGTTTGTTTGTTTGTCCTGGTTTTCCTCTTGCCTGTTTGATCCACTCTTCCTTTCTCTTTTCTTCTTAACAACTTGTCTGTTATAAATGATCGACGTGTGCATATGCTTTGTTATTCTGGCCCTTCTGCTCGCTCCTGCGCGCGTCGACGCCCTTGGTCCAATGGCCATGGTCAATTGTGATTCTCAGTTTTTTTTGTTGTTGTTTTTTGTGCAAGCCTTTTTTTCTTTTTGCCCTCTTCTTCTCTTTCTTTCTATATTGCCTGGTGTTGTCTGTCATGGGATGGGGTCTGTACGTCCCTCATTGCAGCTTGCCACTGTGGTCCAGAGTTCTTTCTCTACAGCTGCGTTTCGCAGTTGCCACACAATTCAAACCTCTCTCTCTCTCTCTCTCTCTCTCTCTCTCAAACCAATTCAATTTTCTCTCTCTCTTTCTCTCTCTCTCAAAGCTCAAAATTTCGCAACCCACAATTTTGTCATCACTAGCAACAACAGGAAAACATCAACAAAGTGGAACCGATCGATCAGACGCGATGACCGTGTCACAAACGGCAGTGTCGATGGCGACGGGCCTTGTCTTCTTGGTATACGGCATGCAGTGGGGACGGACAACGCCAGAAACGAAAACAGGCCACCTGTTGCGGTTCACTCTATTCTCACCTAACTTGGCTTGGATCTGGACAATAGGCGGTCGTAAACGGCGTGTGGAGCATGGAGCAGCCCAATATCCTGTGCGTCCCCTTCGTCCCATCGTCCAATCGCCGTTGCACTCAGCCTCGATGATGTCTTGTGTTTTGTCGCGATTGAGCCAGATTGGCCTTGGGCCCACCGCTCGACTTGATGCGCCGGAACTGACCATGACCCTTTGATGTCTCTTGGCTGCCGCAGCTATCTGGTCGCCGATGACATGCGCAGTGAGGTGAGACTGCACATTTCTAGCTTTGTCGGCCACAGTCTGAGCCAGGGGCAGCTGAAATGCCAATTGACTCCCGAACCGTGAAGCGAGCCTAGGTTGCCCAATATCTGTCTCCACTCACCTGCAATGGATCTCTTTTGTCCATCACATGGATTTCAGTTGAACACCTATGGCCACCACTTTATGATCACACCCAACCTTGACGCCCTGGCCGCCAGTGGGCTACAATTCGACTTTGCATCAACGCAATTTGCCTATTGTGCGCCCAGTCGCAACGTCTGCAATTTCCTTTTTTTTTATGTTTTGTTCCGACTGCGTGACCTGCACCTTGGGCGGCTCATGCAGTCTCATTTCTCCCTTCAGTCTTTTATGACCGGTCGTCGGCCCGATCGCACGGGATGTCTCAATTTTATGCACAAGTTTAGAGATTTTCATCCCAACTGGACCACCATGCCCGAGGTCTGCTTTGTGCCACTCAACTATGCCCCCACCCCATGCCCTGGGCCCTTTACCCCCTCCTCGAGTCCACGCCGGCCTCACACACATAGACACTTGACCCTTTAGTTCTTCAAGGACCGTGGCTACTTTACCACCTCAGCCGGCAAGGTGGGTTTACGCAGCGGCCATCCTGACTTGTCTTCTTTTGCTCAAACATCAGACACGGCGCTCTGTGCCATGCTATTTGAGCTGGGCCAGTTCTTGCCCTCTGCATGGCTTCTTGTGGGCAAGTCCAACCATGCGCACACACCCTGATCATTTTGGGGTTTGCGTACTGTTACCTTCAGATTTATCATGACGGCATGGACGACCCAAAGTCCTGGTCATACCCATCGAACCAAACGGCCTGGATTCAATGTGGAGCAGGTGATGAGACGGGCCAATTCAACAACTATTGCGGCATCACCAACTCCTCTGCCAACCCATACACCGTGCGTCTCATCTTTCCACCTGTTTCCCCCGCCACGACATCACACAAAACTCTTAATTTCAATCCGCCTCACCTCCCACTACATACCGTTGCTATGATAAGAACAGGACGAGGATTTAGCGCTTACCGAGGGCTTGAAGCGCCTGGAGCTGGCCGTCAACTCGGGCCAGCCTTGGTGGGTCTCCATCGGCGTCCATCGCCCCCATGCCCCCTACCGAGTGCCGGCTGGCTTCTATGGTCCGGAAGTATATCCTCCCGGGTCAAACGACGCTGTGCAATCACCCAAGCACCCAGGGCCTGCCACCGATGGGCCTTTTATGGCGGGCAATTGGAATGACGGTGACATCACAGACCCTGCCCACGGCTGCCCCACTTGCATCATCCCCAGCAATCGCACTGATGAATACCGCCGCTGGTAGGCGCATCAATCGCATTCATGAGTCGCATGCTCACAACTCGCTTCAAGCACTTTGGTGACAACGTTTGGCCTTCTTCTGCATCCCATCCAGGTACATGGCCGCCATCACGTACTCGGATCACATGCTCGGACAGGCGCTTCAAAAGCTGGAAGAGCTGGGTCAAGCCAACAACACAATCGTTGTATTCCACTCAGGTGGGCCTCTATCAAACGAAGCAACCGTGCGTAACTCAACTCTGCTAACAGTGTGCTCACGTGTTGCGCTACGCCCAATAAACCATCATAACTAGACCATGGGTATCAACTCGGCGAGGTATCATGTTTTATCCATGGAGGCAGGCCTTGAGTTTTCAACAACTGACTTGCTGTGCACCGCACGCCGACAGCTCATGCACTCCTTGCTTGGGTCTACAGTTGAATGAATGGAGCAAGAAGACAGACTCGGAGCTTGCTGTACACGTGCCGCTCATCATTCGAGTGCCATGGAAACCGTCCTCGCAAGGCCAACGCACCATTGTGAAAGCAGAGTTGGTGGACCTCTATCGCACGCTTGCAGAGTTGGCTGGTTTTAACCAGGATCAGGTCAGCAGCGGACACCTCACTCCAAGAGCTACAAAGGCGCGTCTCATGTGTTTGTGCAATGACCAGATTGAGGAGGACGTGCAAGGCACGTCCTTGGCTGCCGTCTTTGACGATCCAACAACGCTGCCAGCAAATTTGAGTATTTAATACTCTTTTGTCCAGATAGGCCGATGCAACTGCCACTTCTTTTCAGAGTACAACGTGAGACCCCAAGATCTTGTC